TGGACCCCGGGTGCCTGTGGCTACATGTCCAGAGTCTCAGGAGAATGGAGGAGAGGCGGTTGCAGCCTGGCTATCTCCCCAGGGATAATTTCTCACTCTCCTTCCCCCACTCCTGTGAGTGCATGCACCCTATAGCAACAACTAAGGGGAAAAAAATAAAAAATGTAAATTAATTTATTTTAATTTGCATACGCTTGCATGCCCAAAATTCCAGGAGGAGAATGGAGGAATAGGGATTGCGGCGTGGCCATTCCCCCGCAGCGTGACCTCTCACTTTCCCTCTCCCTGTCACATGTCACATCCGGAAAAACATTTTTTTTTCAAATTTTAGTTAAAATTTAAAAATAGAGGGAGGTAGCTCCTGCCTGCTCCTGCCATCCACTCCAGGCGGTGCTGAGGACCAGCCGAGACAACGGAAAGAGCGTGCCCTCTCACCGAAGGCAGTGGCCGCTGAGGAGGCCCCGGGAGCACAGGGCGGGATGCGGCCTGGCTGAAAGTGGGGGGTCTGGGCCCAGGCCTTCCTCCACCTTAGGAGAGTTGCTTAGCCCCTCCCAGCTCCCACGTTGTCTCTGGCATATGCTCTTCATGCGTCAGCCCACTGATGACAACTGCGTGGAGCAGGCTGCTTGACTGCCATGTTACCGGTGAGGGCTCGAGGCGAGCTCCGTGACCTGACAGCAGGGCAGTGCTGCAGACGCTGGCGACAGCCCTGAAGACCCTGTCCCCAGGCTGCGGAACAGGCTCCAGGATCAGAGAGGCACACGGTGTCAAGGCCCACTTCCAAATGTCCGCCTCCCTGCTGGACAGGAGAGCCACCTGGAAAGCTTATCAGACAAGATTCCCAGGAGACTCTGCCTCTCCCGCTCCTGGATCACAGTCCCACCTGCTAGCCTGGCGGGGGTCAGGGCCTAGTTCGGAAAGCAGGCCTCTCATTGCATGTTCTCTCCTCTCTGTGCAGCCCCAGTCTCTAGGCCCCATAAACATGAGAAGCACGGGGCCAGCAAGTGGCATGGTGGCTAAGGTGCTGGACTCCCACAGGGCCGAGTCCCTTGGGTCCCAGACCCGGCAGCTTGAAAATCATGCTGGGCATATGTGCGTGTGTGCATGCCCAAAATCCTGAGAGGAGAATGGAGGAGAAGGGGTTGCTATGTGGCCATTCCCACTGGTGAGATGATCTCAGTATCCCTCTCTCTGTCTCTCTCCAGGGTGAGCACATGCGCCTTACAGCAAAAACCTAAAAAAAAAAAAAAAGAAAGAAAGAAAGAAAAGATGGGAGGTGGTCCCTGGCTCCATGGACAATGCAGTGCTGCCTTGGCCCTCTCAGTGAGGACACCAACGACGCCTTACCACTGCATCATGGGCAGTGTCAGGGACTCAGTGTGGGCTCTGGGCCCAGGGAGGCTAGAGTTCGAGTCCCAGCTGAGCATCAGGTGGGACCTGTCAGGTGGGCAAGTACTCCTCATCGCCCTCGCCTCAGGTTCCGCATCTGTGAAAGGGGACAGCTCTCTCCACCTCGCGGGGTTGGTTGGGGCATTAAGAGACAGGTCTGTGAGCTGTTATGCGCTATGTGAACGTAAGTGGTTATTGTTTGTTCTAACTCCCGGCCAGTGCGAGAGAGCTCTACGCCCTGAGTGCCCTGCAAACAGAGACCCTCACATGACCCGTGTTGTCCAAAGCACAAAGCCAGCCATGTTCCTCACCTGGTGACTCCTTGGTCCCCTAAGACACAAATCGTGTTCTCTGAGCAGAACGGGGACTCCCCAGAGCCAACCTGGGGTCAGGTGTGCCCATCCCGAGCTGCTGGGACTCAGGCCATCCACTCGGGCCATGGCCAGGCAGGGAGCGAGGGACAGGCTCCTG